AAAATAAATAAATACTGCGGTGTGGGTGGATTGGGATGAGGGGCGCTTGTTTTTCACTCGGCTTCTCCCGTTTTGCCAGTACTGTGGTATTAGTGGTTTAGGAAGAGGGGAGTTTTTCACAAATCCAGCGCTCCCTAACTCATGCCTGGCTGTGACGTAAATGGTGTGCGGCCGTGAAGCCAGGACAGTAAACAAACATGTCGCCGGTAGTATGGGACTATTTCAAAGTTTCAGATAGTTTGCTTGCTATTTGTATTAACAAATGCAATGCAGAAGTTCCACGAGGAGGGAAAAAGGCAACGAGCTATAATACTTCCAACCTGATTAGTCACCTGAAACATCGCTACGATGGTGTGTTAAAAGCGTACGAAGACGCCTGCGCTGCTAAACTAGCGGCGAATCCAAAGCCAGCTGCAAAGGCACCGGGGCTTTTACCTATCGACGAGGCTTTTAAAAAAGGCAAGAAGTTTGCCAGAGACGACCCCAGGGCTAAAACGATCTCTAACTTCATCATAGAAATGATGGCGCTTGACGAGAGTCAAAACTGTTCTTGGCTTTGTTTTGTTCATAGTAGTAATGCTCATGTCATTTGCTCACTATTAGTTTTTTTTTTACCACCAGGTGTGCAAAAACTACAGGTACATTTAATATATATATATATTATATTATTATCGGTTATCGGTCTTGAGAAGCAGGAAGTTATCGGTATCGGTTTCAAAAAACCAATATCGTGCATCCCTAGTAATAACAGCCCTAGGCTCATTACGACCGTGTGTAGTATAGGCACATCTGGGACAGAGGAAAAACCGTGCTGCCTATAACCGACAGGTTAGGAGCATCAGGTTTAACCGTCAAGCCCTACTGTTTAATAACCGACTGGTTAATTACAGCTGGCTTGTGCCGCGAGCCCCGCTGCCGTGCTAACCAACAGGTTACAGCCGGCTCAAACGGCGAGCCCCACTGTCTGTTAACCGTACAGGTAACAAACAGCTGGCTTATGCACCTCCACACGCTGTATTACACAGCGGCTCTCCTCATGTCGCCGTTTAGGAGAAAACTCGTAAAACGGACATTGAGGTTCACGCTCAAACCTGCTTGAGGAATGAGTGGAGGTGTGTGTAGGAGGCACATCTGTGACATAGGAAACAAACCCGGGCTGTCTAATTAACCGACAGGTTTTAAAGACAGCTGGTTTGAGCCGTAAGCTTTGCTGCCTAACAACCGACAGGCTGTGAGGCAGCCGCTTATGCAGCTTTTTTTATGTCATCCGGAGGAGAGCTCTCCTGAACCGGGGGAACGGGGAGATCTCATTTGGCAGCTGCCTTTCGGATGATCTCCGGGAGTTCCTGGAGAATACCGCCTATCGACGGCAGAGCCGTGATGGCGGATAGAGGGACCCGTTGACCCGTCGTCAGCCCGGCACCCGAACCTAGGCTCGGCTACCGGGCTGACCCCGGGCCCCCGTCCCGTCTCCCCCGCCGGAGGAGAGGGAGACAGGGCGGGGGAACCACATGGTGATCCGTGAATGGAGGGGAAGGAGACGCCTGACTGCTGCCCGCCACTCGGATCTAATAAATAAAGGGCTTGGTCCACAGAGTAAAACTCCTGGACTAGCCAATCATCCTAGCGAGAGCGTCCGCTCTCCACTGTCTGTGGGCCAGAGGGAGACGGACACAATGAATGCACGACACCTGGGGAGTGAGAGCCGCGTTTGCGTGCTCTAATCCCCGGCAAAACTCACACCGTGAGCTCCGGTCGTAACTCATATGTCGGGTTGACACCGGGCCCCCACCCTGTTTCCCCCGTCCGGAGGAGAGGGAGGATGGGCCCAGGGGAACCAGGAATTTTAGTAAGTAGCTCTTAAAAGAACTTGTTTTGCCTGTCAATGCTTCTGCAACGGAGTGCTGAAGAAAAGTAGGAGTGGATTGTAGGGCCTACTTCCTATTTATACGGAAGTGAACCCGGAGGTGGGGCCCACGTCATAGGTGGGCGTGGAATAAGTATGTCAGTGCTGCACACGTGCAGTGGGATTACCCAATAGCGATAGCCTTAGAGGGCGAAGCCTTATATGATATAGAACTTCATGTGTTTTGCAAGAAAGTGACTGACACGATAAGATGCTATGGTAGCAGCCTTGCTCTTGTTGTTGGGCCTGGTGAAAATGGACTGCTGTGCATTTAGCTATCCTTTCAGGCCCCTCCCCTTTTGGGAGCGTAGGGCTGAATTAGGAGGGAATTCCGTCTCGTAGCGTTTGTGCACTGTTTTGAAATGCCGCTCCTAAATTACCCTTCTTCGATAAAGCCACGCTCGCATTGCAGATGAGACAGATGGACTTTGAATTGGAATAGATACAAAAATAATCATCCTCCCACTCGGAGTGAAAATTATATATTTTGGGCTTTTTTGCTTCTGCCATTGCGGTCTTGTGTGTGTGCGGACTGTCACTCCTGTTGACACGGACAACGTCAGCTAACTAGTGGCCACTGCAAACCAGCCACACCCCGACATATGGGGTCACGCCGGCCAATCACAAAGCTTTGATGCGTTCAAGTGCATTATTCTGCCACAGGAACATTATGTTATAGGACATTAACGATAAAACAGAATATTGTTGTTCTATTTTTAAACACAAAAAATACACGCGTTAATCGTGTTAAAATAATTAGTGGCGTTCATTTTTTTTATTAACGCGTTAACTTGACAGCCCTAATAAAAAAATATAAAAAACATGTCTATGGTGTGTTTTGGTCAAAATACCAAACAGATCATGTATTTTAGATATCCCTCTATTTCAGCCCTGTTAGAGAACTGCAGGTTCAGGATCCTTAGCTTGAAAAAGAAAAAAAAAGAGGACGGGGAACTAATACCTGCTCAGAATTCTACCGAGATACAGCTGAATGCTGCCGTGATTAAACGCCATATCATGTTCCAAACCACATCAAGGATTATTTCTGAAACAGTATGGAGCTCAACATATTTTTTTCTTGCGGGTTTGGGTGAGTTCCTTTTTTTATTTCCTGCTTCTTCACATGTGCTCTCTCCAGTACAGGTAAGCTCTGAGTGTTAGCAATGCTTGCTAATGTAAACAAAGACCATATTACGTCCAAAACAAGTCAGGTATTGTTCCTGATAGGGCCGTGGGTCCGCATTTCCGATATTACCTCATATCGGATGCAAATCTGGATCAGCTCTGTTGTATCCCCGTTTTTAGAGATTTGGGTACAGAGGAAAAGAGAGTCGGTTTAGTTTTCTGACACTTTGTGAGTTCCCTGACACACCGGGGACACATATTTATGTATAAAAGACATCACAAAGTGCATTTTGCATGATAGGTCCCCTTTAATGCCTTTGTAATATTTTCAATGCAGGACTTTTAATTATAAGAGTACCTTTATAATTTAGCATTGCTGCTTTTACTTAAGTACACAATCTGAGTACTGGGTTCGCAACAGCGGTAATTCAAGTTTAAAAGTCTCAAAAATGCTACAACTACTGTCACAAACTGGATGAATGTGAAGTATTTTGTAGGAGGATGAAAGCGTAATTAAGGAGCACTATTGGAGTGACTTTGATGGTTATTGGACTCAGGATTAATTCATTTGGATTCCCGCTGTATGAAGAAATTAAAGGACGGCGCAAGTGGAAACAATTCACAAAGGGATGAAACTGTTTAAAACACATGTTCAAAGTAAGCCGGATTTTGTCGATGTGTATGTGGATTCAAAAGTCGTAAATAATCTACAAAATGGAGGAGACCGATCTGATTGGAGCAACTGTGACAAATAATCCAACTGAAACCGGCATGGACAATGACTATGTTTTAAAAATGCGCTTATCCAAACAAGCCTGGTTTGGACACTTTATGGGCAGAAGAAACATTTATATTAAAGAAAGAATTATACATTTCTGTCTTTTTATGCCTTTAATACTAACTTGAATTTTTATTCAAATTATTAGTCAATTATTTTATTTTTTTATTGTAATGTAGAGACAAGGCTTTTAGTGACAATCATGTATTGCCTTACAATTATATGTAAAAAAAAAAAGTTAAAAAAAATAAAAAGTCTAAATATGATATTTGGCCTCAAATCATCTGAGGCCTGGCGCCCCCCTGCGATCTTTGGCGCCCCCCAGGTTGGGAACCACTGGTTTAATCAACCCCAGTCTGGACATCAAACCCTATTTTTAAACCGCTGGAACCCCACAACCAACATAATCTCTTTTTCTTCACATGTTCTTTCCTCGATGGCTGACTCACCAGTGCCGGCCAGTAAGGTACAGAATAGCTTCACAGTTGGTCTGTCGTTTTTTTTTAAAGGTTTAGGTAATGCAAAAACAATAATACTTTAATGAGGTGGTGCATGGGAATATAGGGAACTATAGGCTAATATGTTAAATATGCATCAGTTCTCCGTCGCTTTCACTCTGCAGGGTCTCTGCACTGTGATGGGTCCAAGAGCCTCTGCAGGAATCACACACCCTCACACACACTCAGTCGCAGATACACACAACTGTTGGTCCCTGCCATTGGCCCATGACAAACTGTGTCCAATAACCCAGCGACTTCACATAATTATAATAATAATAATAATAATAATAATAACATTCAAACCAATCGACCAAATAAAGAGTAAAGCCACAGAAGCAGATTCATTCCAGACCAGACTACAGACGTGTTTCCAGCCTGATTCTTCCACAGGACAGATATAAGAGCTGCATCTTTGTTTAGATCTAGAGTTTCCAGAGCCTCCCTGCTTTGAGACGCCGTTAAACACACAGTATAGTGTGTGTGTGTGTGTGTGTGTGTGTGTGTGTGTGTGTGTGTGTGTGTGTGTGTGTGTGTGTGTGTGTGTGTGTGTGTGTGTGTGTGTGTGTGTGTGTGTGTGTGTGTGTGTGTGTGTGTGTGTGTGTGTGTGTTGCATTAATGCTCTCAGTCCGTGTCCGCGCGCCGGGCTTACCCCACACATTCCTCCTTCAAACAACAGTTAACTCCGGTTTACCTTCGACAGCCCACACCGTTGGCAGTATCCACAGAAAATACAAGATATCCATAATTAGAGTGGTTCCAGGCACTGGACTGTGGGATGATAACGCGTTCATAGCGCAGCCGTCCAGCAGCGGGCCACAGACATTTGATTCATTCAGAGCTGCAGAGCCTCATCCGCATCCCCAGCAGCAGCAGCAGCAGCAGCAGCAGGAGGAGCGGAGGGATAATGGCTGAGGAGCTGCTGCCCAGCCAGTGGGCGAAACCAAAAGAAAGGGGGCGGGAAAACACCGACACCCCGCTGCACGCGCTGTCTGGGGGTCTGATGCACCACGTTATTATAAATGCATCTTATCAGAAAAAGTTATTATTGACAGATTATTGTGTTCTAAAGTACACGGTTCGGCTGCATTAAATATTACACATCTGCCGTAGTTCTCTATTGATAGAGCCCTGATGAGAAGACTTCTGTACAAACTTGAAGAACTGCCGCCAAAACTTAATATGCGACGTGGATCATAAATATATCAACAATTAAACAACATCTTGCATTTCTTTTCACAAAATACGTCTCCTTGCAGTATCAATAGTAATTCGGCTGACTTTTATATTTGATCCAATTGGTAGGGTGAGTTGCCATAATGTGGGACACGCCCTAATGTGGGACACCTAAGCTCAAATGGGTGTAGGTCTTCCGCAAACAAATGAGAGTCAATGAAACTACGGGTTAACACAAACTGTGATGTCATGCGATCAAAATCGCATGACTTCTCAAATATCCAATCACAGATGAGGGTGGAAAAACCTTTAAACAGGAAGTACCATGTGTGAAGACCACCCAATTGTCAATGACATAGCGTTTTGACAAATGTAATGTTAAGGTTTTAAATTTCGTATAAATAAAACAATCTTGCAAATTGTTATCAGGATGTGTTTATGATATGTTTGTTCATCAGAACATATTATAATATGGGGTAAATATACTCTATATGTTTTTATTTCAATCAAATGTTCCATCGTCCCACTTTAGGAAACATGTTTCGCAAAGTGAGACAGTATGATTTGCCTAATGTGGGACAGGTCTAAAAGGGGCATGGATTGTGCAAGAGCAATGGTTATTTACAGGGTTTTAGTCTTCTAATGCAGTATTTTAGATATTTAAGGTGAAGGGCAAATCATATTAAATAATTGGGGGTGGCTGCATCTCTGTTAAAATGGTATGACAAAGTCAGAGATAATGTTAGGGATTAATGTCTGAGTTTAAGTTTAATTAATTTAAGCCCAAATATTCATAGTAATTTAATAAATCCTTCCAACACACATTGTAAAAAATAGCCTAAGTTAAGAAATAATTCCAATATGTGCTATAGGTCAGTAAAAAAACAAAACAACACAGTGTAAAAGGGGAGTGATTAGTCGAATATGCATAAATAAAAAAGAAAGAATGCAGACTAAGATAAAGATAGGAGAGAGGAGTTTATCAAATATGTGTTATTGGTTGTGAGCATATTCTAATGGTTTTTGGATTATTGAAATATATACAGTTCTGTTTCATATGAGTGTTGAGAGCTGTATCCATAAATCTCTTAATGTTGCCCTCAAAGTGCATCAGATTGATGCATTTAACTTCAATTTAAAGAAAAACATCTTCTGTTGTAAAAACAATAACATTATAAATAGTAACATAGCTGAACATGGTATTGCACATTTAGCTTTGAGTGTTACTGACCTGAGATGTTTTTATTACATGAATTAAGGTGACTGAGGCTTTTTAACATATACTTTTCAGTGTCCCACATTTTGCACAGAACTGTCCCACATTAGGAAAAGCAGATTGTCTGAGACAACTTGGCACTAAGAGTACTTATATGTCCACCATTTCTTTTATGAGTGTAATATCTGCATTTTCTCTTTTGGTTTGATTAGGACACATCCTGGGGATTTCAGAATGGTACTTGATGTTGATTTATTGTATCGGCTTCATATCGCAAAATATTCCCGAAGTCAAAAAATGTCCCACATTAGGGCAATTCACCCTAGATAGGCTGTATTTATTTACACCATAACGGTACACAGCTGATAGAAAAGGACTTGTAGTTTTTAAAGATATTACTGATTTTCTTTGAATATAAGAATGTAAATACTGAGTTGAGAGAATAGTCAGGGGATTTGGGTGATGGGAGACACATCTATGAAATCTCAATTTCAATAGCTTACCATTAAATTACGGATATGCCTTTCTGTCTGTGATGTTTTACAAATCAGATATTAATGTGTAGAAATAAAACATGAGAAATAGTATAGCAATATATATATACTCTTATGTATGTAGATAGAATAAGAAATGTGCAGAATTTTACAGTTTAATGCTGGAGGTATACACACATATTGATAGATGTCTTGTAATGCACTGTTGAGGAACCTGCGACCCAAGATTTTCATTAATTGCATAACTACACCGTAGTTGTGTATATGATATGCCAATAAACCTTAGAAAATCTTGAAAGGGATGTGTAAATAGCAATTATATACAGTTTTTAATGAACTATTAGTAGAGAATAACGAGTAATTAATATACTTTATAGAGATCTGCAGATTAATGTTTAGTCTTCTCAAGCAGCAACTATCAAATATCTCTCCTGATTGTTGGCACACAATCACCTTCCCTGAATTTTACTCAGGTGTATCTAAAGTCTGATTTAAGGGTTGTTTATATTTCACATCATTAATCAGAATCTGCAAAGCAACTCAAATAAATGTAGTGGAGTAAAAATACCAGGTTAACCTCTGAATTGTAGTGGAGTAGAATTACAAAGTAACAATGAGCTGTCATGTGGGTATATATTAATGCTGCCCATTATGGATACAAGCGATTTTCACCCATTTAGTAATTACATGTTTTAAATTTGTACACAACAATTTGTTTCCTATCCCCTAATCCTCCAGGGCTGTACACAGTTTAATACTGTCAACTTCTAATTGTGGGAAAAACGAAAACGTATTTTAAAACTACAATTCCCAGTAGAGACGTGCCATAGAGAACATGTTGCGAAACACAATAGCCACCATGTGTAGTTCTGGGGGGGCGTTCGAGTCCAGTTTTGAATAGTCTGCCGTGGTTTCGTTCCATTTCAAAGAGCTTGACACTCGGCGTAACCTTGGCGCACTGCCACTCCAACATCCAATCCCAGAGTAACAGCTGGCGAAATTACAGCCTCGCCTACTGATTTCAAATGTGTGCTCTAAAGTGATATTTATAAATGACTATTATCATTATTATAAGCAAGACAATAAATGGCAAAGATATGTAGAAAATAAACGTATTTAAGATACGTTCATAACAAACGTAACGTGGGAGAAAATAAGTTTCTAGCTAAACGTAATGAGAATGCAGTTTAGTTCTGTGGGAACGTAATTTTTAGGAGACAGGGTTGCGCGGCGGGTAGCATTCGCTCGCGACCTCAAGTCGTCTACAACATACGTTTAGGGAGCTATATAGAAGCCTATGGACATCCCAGAAAGTTGAAAATGTACGCTAAGGGCCGCCCCCCTTGCGTTGGAAAAAGCCGACACAGGGGACCTTGACATAACGTCAACATAGGCCGACCTGGGAGTGAGGATGTGTTGCATGAGTGCACACAATTGAACCACACTGCAGAAACTAGCCAATTGTATGTTTACTGTGCACTAAATGGGGTTGTGCTATCCATGTCATAAATAAATAGTTTGTTTATTGGACTGGGTCTGGGTAGCAGAGGGGAAGGAACAACTGTTTTTAGCGTTTCCTCCTCCACAGCCAACAGAAGGTAATATAGGAGGTAGTTGTGCAATGAGCTGTACAGAATATTAACCGATGGACTTTTGTCAATGTTGGTAACATGCAAAGCTGAAACACTGGATGGATGTGATGTAGAGTGTGAATGGGCTGAAGGAGGGGAAGGTGGATGGGGGAAGGAGGTAGAATCTATCTGACACAGAAATAACCGTGGACAGCAGCAGACAAAGAAACAGCTTGAACATCTGATAACGTCTGACATGATTGGATCACAGAGATCATGGCAAACTGTGATTGGTGTAACTGAAGGAGTGACACCCTCAGTCAGCTGATTGAGAAATAATAGGAAAAGGGGCGGGGGGAGAGAGGTAAAATAAATAAAGAAATCAAACTGCAACTGCATTTCCTTCTTTCAAATAACATTCGAAAGGATTCAAGATCAAAGCCTATTGTCAGATGCACAATTCAAACTTTTTTATTAAAGGTCCACTTGTGAATTTGATACAAGGTCACTGGTCCGGATCAATGCCAGTAAAGTCCCCCCCGGAGCGGAGCCGAGCACCGAAACTGAAATTAAGAAGCAGTTTCTTACGGCACGCTTTGCATGCCCCCTTGAGGGGGTTTCCCGACGTGTCGTTGCAGTAAATGAACCTGTTAAGCCCGAGAGACCCCGGTACCGGGGTACTGCCGCAACATCTTGCAGGAAACAGTGTCTGAGGGCATGTTCATTTAATAAACTATGAATGTTTTGTATCCATGTAACGGGAAGAAACTCATCTAACTGATCATTTTAATTTGTTTTCCCAAAGAAATCCACAATGCTAACGCTGAGCCTCTGAATTAGCAACGAGCGAAAAATGCTAACAGATGACTGCACGGAAATTCACTCACAAAACCTTATTATTTATATTTGCACATCCAACAACACATCGTTTCACATCGTGAGGAGACACAGAATCGAAGGGTACCCTTCATTATCACTCAATTATACGAACTCGCGGAGATAATAACAAGAACAAACAGCAAAACATATGGCGCTAGATAGCTAAAAACGCTAACATGGCTCACCTGTGTCGTAGTCTGGTCAAAAGTGGTCTTCAATGGGATTAAAACGATAAAAACGCTGCTGAAGTTAATCCATAGGTTAATCCAATGTGTCTGTGTCCCTTTGAAATGATTTCTGATAATCCATGAGCAATAAACCTGCTTTTCGGTTTCCAGATGTCAGAGCTAGAGACAGCTTCACTCTGGTGCAAAACTGCATCCGCGAAGCCCCCACCTTTTTGTTTTAGTATGTGTGTGAGTGGCATACTTGCCAACCCTCCCGATTTTCGCGGGAGACTCCTGATTTCATTGCCCTCTCCCGGTTTCCTCCCGGGGTCATATTTCTCTCGCATTTCTCCCAATTTCTGACAAAATCAGATTTACTCAC